TACAGCCACACATGGGTGTGGGAACAGCCTCTTCTGTGTCTCCACCCCTCCTACCAGTCTCAACATGGCCTTTTCTTTATATCCTTGGTTGTAGGACTTCTGTTCAGCTAGATTACAGGTGGTTCTCAATGATGGTTGTTCTGTAATTAGTTGTAATTTTGAAGTGGTCATAGGAGGAGGTGAGCACAGTATTTACCTACTCTGCCATCTTGGCCAGAACTCCAATCCAGTAAAAATTTTATTTCAGATACTGTATTATTCAGTTCTAAAAACTGTATTTGGTTCTTGGGGTAGTTTTATGCTGTGTCAAATGAACTAAGCTGTAACTCCATTTCCAGATTCACTTCCCTGTATGGTTCCAAGTTCAGGGTTGTCCAAAAGAGAAGTTTGCATGTGATTTTTAAGGCAAACTTGAAGCAGCAACCATTTTACACACTAAAAGCACTTGTAGCTTGCTCTGAGCTGTTGGTTTACCTTCTTGGCCTGAGTAAGTAGCCACACTCAAAGCCTCCTCAGCAGCCACTGGGTCTCCTTCCTTTTCTCTGAGACCCGAGCCCTGTGAGCGTGTAGCTCCACATGAAGGGCTCTTTCTGCAGATCACTGACGTCACTGTGGTTGGAGGTAGTGAGAGACAAATTTGGATTTTAGGTTTTCCTCATAGGTTCCTGTTTTTCCTCGGGGGTTCCAGTTTGTTCTTGCTTTCCCCACATATCTTCCAGCTTTCCTTCCCAGCTGCTGCCCTGCTGTCCTACGATGACTTCTTGGTCACCACTAGATGCAGAGATACCAGCCTTCTGTAGACTTTACCAGCTCCCACAGTTTCACAAGTCTAGCCCCTAGAATAAAGCCCTATATTCATATCACTTGTAGTGGTTCTGCTTCTTTAATCAAATGCTAATCATTTCTCTGTTGAGATTCTCCATCTATTCATTCACTATGGCCATCTTTTTTTTATTCCTTATGCAAATTTATCATACCCTCTTTAAAATCCTTCTTCTAATTCCCATAGCTGGGTCATCTCCATAGTTAAGTTTAAGTTTACTATGTGTTTCTCTTATCTATGTGTCACACTTCCCTGTTTCTTCACATGTGTAATAATTTTTTTTGTATACTGGCTGTTGTAAAGAATAGGTTGTACACACATTGTCTTCCTCTGAAGAGTGTTGATTTTTATTTTATCATCAGATAAATCATTTTCTGGTCACCTTGAGCTTGTGGAGACTTGGACTTACATTTTTGTTAGGGTGAGTCTGTTTCAACTTTGTCTTTCGGTTTAGGGTGAATCCCTGGGTCTTGACACATAGTCTTCCTTCCAAAAGTGCAGCTCTTCTGTGCTTTCTAAGGAAACTCTATGGCATTTACTAAACTTCCCCACCTCAGTGGGAATCAGATTCCAAACTGAGCACCCCCCCATCCATTACCACCAGCAGCAGCTGAAATACTCTTCAGCCTTCATTTCTGCCTGCTTTTGGTCACTTCCATGTGCCTTTATAAAGTTTGTATTTTAATATACCTTCCAGATTTATAATTATCATCTGCTGGAAGGTGAGTCTAAATGCAAGCTACTCCTTCATGACCAAGATCAGATCTTTGAGTCATCTTTTAAGACTAAAGCAAATGGAGAGAGAAGGGTGGGGTGGGGAGTCCCTGAATCCTGTTAATTAATGGAAAGAGAAAACTGGAGAGGTTTGGAGGGTGAAAGTAAAGAGGTGTATTAACAATCTCTCCCTTCAATAGATTGCCTCCCTGTGCTGGAAAAGAAAAGCATGTGAGTATGTTCTGTGTGTGAGAGAGAGGTAGAAAAAGAGAGAGACAGCACCACAGAGCATTCTAATTCTGTCTCCTTGGATCCAGTGCATGGGGATTAGAGGAACACGCGGTGAAGCTGCCCTAATGCCTGTGCCAGCTGCGTGTGTGTGCGCATGCGCACATACCACACACCCCAGTTAGCAGGGTTAACTTGCAAGAACCTGTCTGCCTCTCTCCCTCCTCCACTACTAAATATTTGTTCTAAACTATCAAACAACATGAAAATGATAAAAATAGTCCTAGATCAGATGCTCCAGGATACTCTGTTTTTCATGATTTGTTCTTTTAAACATGTCCCAGGATATCTGGCCAGGATGCTACTGATGGGTTAGAAATTATGACACCTGTTATTGGGGCAAACAGCCTTCTATCAATGTGGCAAGTAGAAGGTGTACATGGCAAACATGGACTTCTTACAAGTTTTATATACCAGATATTGGCCCAGATTGTGTTTTTAACATTTTTGGAATTAGATACACACATTAAAAAATATGGATTCCTGGCTATCTCCTTTAGATTGCCTGTGTACTCCCCAGTTTGCCATAGTTGCCAGCACTCCCAGGATTGAGGCTTATCCCTTCTCTCACTCACATTTCTGAACATGGCTTATCTGGTCCCATAGGTTTTTGAGTTTGTGGATCCTGTTCTAAATCATGCTGGGATTGTACTACTGTGCTTGGTCATGTCACCATAGTTGTCTGTCTGGAGTTTAGGGGAGATTTAGAAAGGCCTGAATAATCTGTGAGAAATAGGGATGCATATAAAATCCCCTGGGGAAAACAACAAAACAAGTCACCTGCCAGGAGGATGGCTTGAGTGAAAAGAGATACCTGCATGCTTTAAGAAAGCTTCCCTGGGCCTAGACCTGAAGAGCGCTGCTACTGAGGAACACACTTGCCAGGTGAGTTGCACCACTGAGCTGAGAGAGGACTGGGATAGATTGATTGGCAGGCAAGCAAACAACAAGACTGCCTGTGACTCTGAGAAAAAGAGAGGACATGAAGGAGAAACAGAGCAGCTGGTAGTGAACCAAGTGGAGCACCATTGGGAAGAGTGGCATCATTATGGACCAGAGCAGTGAGAGGCTGGATTCCACCACAGTGGCCCTTGTACCAGCAAAATGTCCCCCACACAGTGCAAGTGCAGTAGCTTCTGGCATGAGAGTAGAGAGAGGGAAGATGAAAGAGGGTGGAGTTTTGATATGATGGGGTAAGGAAGCAGAGAAGACAATGGACTGTAAAGGTAGACTAGAAATGCTGTTCTAAAGGGATTTGGAAAATCTTTAAGGCTGGAGAGTGAGTTGAGAATTCAGGGCCAGTCCTATAAAAAGGCTTTATAAAGTAGTGGTCAGGAGTATGGGGTCTAGCCCTGGCCGGGTGGCCTGGTTCATTAGAGCGTTGTCTTGTACACCAAAAGGTTGCAGGTTTGATTCCCGGTCAGGGTGTGTACAGGAGACAACCAATCAATGTTTCTCTCTCTCTCTCCCCATCCTTTCCTCTCTCTAAACATATCCTCAGGTGAGGATTAAAAAAAAAAAGAGTGTGTGGTCTAGAATCAAATCCAGGTGGTGGCCCATGTGGTAATCACCTAGGTGACCCTGGGCAAGTTTATAACCTCTGCATTTCCTCATCTGTACCATGGGGATAGGATAGTACCTACTTCATAAGGTTGTGAGTGTCGAGTGAGTGAACACTTATTAAGTGCTTAGTCCAGTTTCTGCCATTATTACTATTATTTTATTATTATTAATAGTAGTAGCAGTAAGGCATGAACATGTGTGTGTTACGACATGTCCATCACAGTTGTGACCATGATCATCACCTCCCTACTTCTTTATGTCTAAGCACCTGTGTGTCAGGAAGCCTTTCTTAAATTAAAAATTTAACTCAGATGATTTATTAGCAGCGATGCACACGTATCAAAAGGGTGCGCTGAGGTTTCTGGAGAAGCTCAGGCTGCCTGGGTCAGGTTAGGGCTCTTCCTTGGTGGCTTTGAGAAGTGTGAAAGCAGCATGAGAAGGAAAGGAGGTTCAAAGAGACACACCCACTTCATAAGCTGGTCTGAATTCGATACAGTAGAGTCACACTCAAATCTGTCTTGAAGTTGCCGTATGCCATGGGCACGTTAAAGTTTTCGTTGTAGCATCAGTCCTACCTTAATGCTCTGGCAGGGCTGGGCAGGGGAGGGCACCCTCGTGTATATGCGTGGGGGTCTGGATGGGATCAAGGCGGAGGCTCATGGAAGAGACCTCTATTGTTTTGGATCAGGAGGAGCAGCTGCTGAAATAGATGGTCTCACATCACTGGTACTGCCCAGTCTGCCTAAAGGAGGCCCTTCTCAGCCCAGAACTTATAAAAAGAAGGCAGCTACCACAGAAATCAGATATTGGTCCCAGTGACAGTCAGTCTGTGTATCTCAAAGGAATGCAATGAATTGCCTTTCCTTCCCAGTGCTTTCTTGTTTGGCTTCCATGGAGGTCTGTGTTTGTAGAAGAACTTGGGTCTAATTGTTGCAGACAGATGCCTGTGTTCTTTTAGCTGAGACAGATGGGCAACAGGAGGAGGAGGTGGGGGTGGCTGTGAGGGAGGAGGTGACATTTGTAAATATGTCAAGGGACAATGAAAATTCACTGAAAATGCATTGGAACCTTTCAAGCGAGAAGGTGAAATGATCTTTTATAAGTGATGTGTGGGTCTGTGAAGACAGTAATGGTGTCAGTGAGGGTATCGATTCTTGAGCATCTGTGGTTACAGTGGATAAAAATCAGCTATAGAGAAGGGCAATTATTTTTAACCTCTTTCCATATAACATGTTTTACAGGAGCTGCTAGCAATTTGCAAAATTAACTGTCACTTTTCTCCTTTCCATCATAAACAGCGAAAGGGCCAAGTAGCAGGCAGCATAAGGAAGAAAGAAGAGTTGTAAAAACTCGGGCTGACCAGCTGCCTCGCGTCGTAGTCACCCAAGAACCCGGCCTTGATGTGAGCGACGGTTCCTGGGCCTGATGCTTCTCTGGGGCCGATGCACACTTGGATTTGCTCTCTAACCAAACCCTCTAGGCTACAGCAAGCTCTAAGGTCTGAAGCTCTAATTTAACTAAGTCCGTGTTCTTTGTCATCACCCCCAACTTCAATTAACTGCAATGCTGCCTTCTGGGACCAGAGCCTGGCTTTTTTTCTCCAGTACCTTACCCCTTTGTCCAGCGGAACCTTCACGTCCATAGAGAGAGAACCTGTTTCCCCATTGATCATGGCTGTTCTCAGCTTCAAGAGAAAAATAATGGAATTAGTTCCTTGGCTCACACTGGAGTGTGGAGCTTTACTGGCCAGATTGTAGGTGATGCCTGGGAACACTTTTGTTTCTTTCCTTTTTCCTCTGAGCAGAGCACCGAGAAGAATAGAGACCAGATTCTAGGTTCCATTTAGCTTATAATTCTGGAAATTCACTAAGATACTGTTCCAAAGTGTACTGATATATGAGGGAACATAGTGTCATATTACCAAGACATACTTTCCTCTAGGATGAGCTACTGACACCAAACGCCAGACTAAAACACCTCTAGAACTCCAACTCTGTAGCTTATAAACATGAGCTCATGCAGTCTCAGTAATCCTTGTGATTCAGGAAGATATTGTTATATCTTTACAGTTATTTGAAGAATTGCCCATTATAGGAATTGTTACTGGTTTGGGCTTGGAAGGCTCCACCGAGATGTAGAGAGCGGTTTAGAGCTTCCAGCCACACAGCTTGCTCATGTATTGGCCATAGAGCTAAACTAGCTCCTTCTCCTCCCACTTTCCCCACTCACGATTTCAGCTCGGTCCTCCCACTCCACTTCAGAGAGATCCACGCTGTTGTAGTTAGGTTTGGGTTTTAGTTTCTTCCCCTCTTTGTACTAGAGTGGGCAGGTCAGAAAGAAAAACATGAGGTTTACTTAAGGGCCTGCTCAAGTTTCATCTCTTCTATAAAGCCTTATGGGTATATTTATAAGATCAAAGAATCTCAGTGATTCCTTAAGGTTATTTGGGCCAATGTTTAACCCAAATGCAGAGCTTTCCTGTTAACATTTGTGACAGGTGGTCTCACAGCCGCTGAGTGAATATTTCCCATGGGAGGAGCTCCCTCTTTTTAAGTAAGCTTGTCATAGTTTGGGGCAGCTCCGATTGTTAGAAAGTTCTTCCTCATACAGAACTGAAATCTGCCTCCCTGTAACTTTTACTCACTGGTCTTAGTTATTTACCTGGAGCTACACAGACTGTCTTCCCTTTGATAACCCTTGAGATTTCTGAAGGTGCTTGTCATTCCTAAGACTTCAGTTCTCCAGGCCAAACATTCCTAATTTGCAAATGCCTCAGCTCCCTTGGAACATGCTCTACTTTGTCAGTGTCATTCCCAAAATGGAGTGCCTAAGACAAAAGTCAATATTTCAGATAGCGTCTGACTGGTGTGGTGTGTGGTCCAACTATCACACTGCTGCCTCTGATTCTGCCGGACTTCCAGGACAGCTGCCCTGACAGAACAAATCGAGTTTTCAGCCTGTTAATCTCCTGGGCCTTCCTCACGTGACACACTGTTAAATTACGTCTTTACAATCTTAAGCTTGAGGACTGAGTATTTTGCAGAAATTTTCATGCATCCCTAATATACTTCATCTGGTTAGTTTCAGCTCATTGTTTTGGAAAAATACTTCCTGAATACTAATTTTCTCACTTACTGTATTAGCCATACCTTCTGGACTTTGTGGCATCTGCCTTCTGTGTTTTCATCTTGTTGATAGAATTTTTTGAGTGGGACAGAACCAAGGGCAGACATATTCTGCAATGCCCAATAAAAGATCTATTTCCAGCTTGACATAGAGTCATTAATCAGCACTCTTTGAATGTTATTATTATTTTCTTACCATGACTTTTCTCTCCCCCTCTCTCTCTCTCCCTCCCTCCTATTAGGCCTGCACCACTTCCCAGGTTTAGCTTAGTAATAGATCAAATAAAAAAAGAGAATAGACCTCTGGTCAAGACGGCAGTATAGGTAAATGCAGTACTTGCATCCTCCCACGACCACATCAAAATTGCAACTAAACTACAGAACAATCATCATTCAGAAACACTTAAAATCTAGCTGAATAGAAGTTCTATAACTAGGGATTTAAAGAAGAAGCCACATTGATACTGGAAGGAGGGGCAAAGATGCAGAAGGGGCTGGTTCCACACCCATGTGTGGCAGATAAAAATTGGGAGGGATATCTTGACTGTGGAGGTCCCCCATGAGGAATGAGGGGTCCCAGCCCCACACCAGGTGCCCAAGCCCAGGGTTCCAGTGTTGAAAAGAGAAGTCCCCATAACTTCTGGCTGTAAAAACCAGCTGGAATTGAGGCTGAGTGAGACAGAGGGTTGCTGGTCTGAGGTGTTTCTCTTAAAGGGCTGGCATATGGACTTACTTGGACTAACTCTCTCTGAGCTCCAGCACTGAGATAGCAGCTCAAAAGGCACCAGGAACATATAGGGAGAAACTGAATCATCTGGCATCAGTGCAAGAGCTAGGGGTGGGGGGCAGCCTTCTCCCAGACAGAAGTGCAGACAGAGGCCATTGTTTCTTTGATGAGCCTTCCCTGCAAAGAGCCAGTAGGCGAGTGCCATATCTGAGTCTCTGTCAATCTAGTTATCATTCTGTGCCCCACCCTGGTGATTCCCTGCCCCACCCTGGTGCACCACCAAACTTATAGGACTACTCAGGCTGTTTCCAGTGTCTTTTCCATACAAATGGATTGTTTTGTCTCAAGCTTCAGACTTTCCAAAAATCTCTCAAACAAGCAGCATCTGGCCTCAGCATGTCCCATACCTCTTGTTAAGTAGTCCAAGGCCCAGCATGTGGTTCTCAGTTTGGCCTCTCCTGGGCACCTCCAAGCCCAGCACAAGTAGCAGCTATATGCAAATCAAGCCAGATGGCCCCAGGAAGAACACAGGTGGTGAATGACCTTAGCCTGCACCTTCTGAGAGGCCCCAGAGCCAACACACCCAGTGGGCAGCTTCAGACTATGTCAAAGCACCACCCAACCACACTCAATGGGCAGACTCAGAGGGCAACAGAGCCCTGCTGAGGTAAGCTCTGTTCTGTGAGGCAGTCCCTGCACAGCTGATCCTCCACAGAGGTTGGTGGTCACAAACAGTCCTTGCAGTCAACTGACCTGGTGGTAAATCCCTCTCATTGATGTGCCAACAGCAAATAAGGCTCCACTACAACAGGAGGGTGTACAAGCCCACACAGGAGATGCCCCTGGAGTGCCCAGCTTGGATGATCAGAAAGGCTGTTCCACTGGACCCTACAGGACACCTTCTACATTAGGCCACTCTACCAAGCCCGGGAGACATAAGAAGCTCTACCTAATACATAGAAACAAGCACAGAGAGGCTGCCTAAATGAGGAAACAAATAAACATGACCCAAATGAAAGAACAGAGCAAAATTCCAGAAAAAAGAACTAAAAATGGAAAAAAGCAATCTACTATACGCAGAGTTCAAAACACTGGTTAAAAGGATGTTCAATAAACTTAAGGGAAGAGTAGTTGAACTTAAAGAGAACTTGAACAGCATATAAAAAGACATGAAAACCATTAAAAAGAACCAGTCAGAAATGAAGGCTACACTAACTGAAATGAAGAATAATTTACAGGGAATCAACAGTAGAGTAGATGAAGCTGAGAATCAGGTCAGCAATTTAATAAGGAAGCAAGAAACACCCAATCAGAACAGCCAAAAGAAAAAAGAATAAATAAATAAAATGAAGACAGTGTAAGGAATCTCTGGGTCAACTTCAAGCTTACCAACATTCACATCATGGGGGTGCCAGGAGAAGAGAGTGAGCAAGGGATTGAGAACCTATTTGAAAAAATAATGACAGAAAACTTTCCTAACTTGATAAAGGAAATAGACATGCAAGTCCAGGAAGCAGAGAGTCCCAAACAAGATGAACCCAGAGAGGCCCACACCAAGACACATCAAAATTAAAATGCAAAAGATTAAAAACAAGGAGAGAATTTTAAAAGCAGCAAGAGAAAAGCAATTAGTCACCTACAAGGGAGCTCCCATAAGACTGTCAGCTGATTTCTCAACAGAAACTTTGCAGAAGAGTTTGGCAAGAAAATTTCAAAGTAACGAAAAACAAGGACCTACAAGCAAGATGACTCTACCTAGCAAAGCTCATTTAGAATTGAAGGACAGATAAAAAGCTTCCCGGACAAGGAAAAGCTAAAGGAGTTCATCACTACAAAACCAGTATTACATGAAATGTTAAAGGGCCTTCTTTAAGAAGAAGAAGGGAAAAAAAGATAAAAATATGAACAATAAAATGGCAATAAATATATATATATCAATAATTGAATAAAAAAAACCCCCATAAAAACCAACAAAGAAGCAGAAAGAAACAAACTCATAGATACAGAGAACATTTTGATGGTTGCTATATGGAAGGGGGTGGAGGGGATGGGTGAAAAAGGTGAAGGGATTAAGAAGTACAGATTGATTGTTACAGAATAATCATATAAAGTACAGCATAGGGAATATAGTCATTAATATTCTAATAACTATGCATGGTGTTAGATGGGTATGAGATTTATTGAGGTGATCACTTAGTAAGTCATATAATGTCTAATCACTGGGTGTACACCTGAAATGGATATAACATTGGATGTCAACTGTAATTGAAAAATAAAAAATAGCCCTGCAGGTATGGATCAGTGGTTGAACATTGACCTATAATCCAGAGATCAAGATTTGATTCCAGGTCACGGCACATGCCCTGGTTGCAGGCTCGATCCCCAGTAGGGTGCGTCCAGGAGGCAGCCAATCAATGACTCTCTCATCATTGATGTTTCTCTCTCTCTCTCCCTCTCTCTTCCTCTCTGAAATCAATAGAGACATATTAAAAATAATAATAATAATAAATAAAAAATAATTTAAAAAAGAGAAAGAGAATGGTTTCTCATTAGTGTAAACTAAGGATTAATCAGAGGGTTTACTTTTAGCTGAATGAGGCCCCCCTGCAGATGCTTGAATGGTTGACATCCCCTATCACTGTGCATTTTGCTTCTGGCAATTTTTCTTTTTTCAGAAAAGCCTCATCCTTATTTCTTGCCCTCGCAGGAGATCTGTAATAAAACTGCCACAATGGTATCTTTCTTTTCCTCTCCTCTTTTCCTCCTTGTCCCTGCGTGGATAATGTTCCATTCTTGGCCTTATGAATATCTACACTCATGACAAACAGCACTGTCCTACCAATTTCGACACTGGATCTGCTTCTTTTGAATAAGCTACAACATTTTTCATTCATTTCTATTTCATAATTCCCGATGATACCTGAAAGAGCATCTTTAGCTCCTCAGATTAGGACCAGAATCCCCCTTTGTTAATTAGTCATACTTTGGGCACTGACATAAAAAGATTTCAGGTCAAAAGTGTGGCTCTTGACCCTGTTTCAATTTGTTACTAGACATGTCCTCTATTATATTTCTTTTTTGTACTCAACTATTGTTCTCCTTAATACCTATCACAAATCAGTAGTGCTTTCCTTAGGGATCTCATGAAGTTGGCTTTGCCATAACTTTTGTTATATAATAATGTTCTACATGGTGCTTTTCTCTAATTTGTTTCATTTGTGTAAGTCTATTTGTATATAGTCTATTCTCTTAATTAGACTATGAACTTCTGTTTACAGCATTCTCAGAGCATTATAAGGTTAGGCACACAGTAAGTCTACAACATGAATTGGTTGGCTGAAGTCATATATCTATCTAGATTACATAGGTGATAATAGATGGGTTTCTGACTAGTACCCCTTCATTCTACAAGTTAGCTCCAGGATCAACACATTTATTATTTCCCTAGTGAGTCATTTGTTGGCACTGGGGCTGCCCCTTACAGAACCCACTGGTATAGGTCAGCGACCCATTATGGGTTCATATGCTTCCCCAGCAGAGTCTGAATTGGGAAGACAGAGTGCTTTCCAGTGTGCCCTGATCTCCCTCTACTCTGAACCTCTATAGTTTGCCTGCAATAGCACAATCAGTTGCCTTACAAACACTCAGTAACTATCTCAACCAAATGGAATGGAATATGGCTTATACTGATCTCCCCAAATGGCACCTGGGCAGATGAGCCCCTTAGTAAATTTTCAGAAAGGTACTCTGCTAGTTATTGTCCTCAGCTATCAACCCGATTCAGTATAAGACTGGCAGAGGGGAAAGGGTTAAGATTCTTCTGGGACCCTAACTCCTTCCCCCCAATACCCCAGCAATCCCTCTGAGAGGTGTGGCCATTATTGTAAAGTGCCATGACCAGAAGTAGAGCAGTAGGGAGCCCCTAGCCCTGGAGGCAGAACTTTCAGATGAAATGGTGGAAGTTCCTCTCTTGGCCATCTGTTGTTCAGTTGAATGCATGTGAAAATGCTCCCAATCCCTGTATCAGGATGGAGAGAGCTAGGAAGGAGGCAGGAGCACCCAAGGACACAGACCAAGACAAACCCAGGGGAGCTTTTGCTCTCCTGCCCTCCGCCTCTCACAAGACAGCTCCTCTGACATTTTTATTGTCCACTCAACACTCATGCCCCCGTGGATCTACTGATACCACTGTCAGGCTCCAAGGACTGTGGAGCTGCTGAGGCAGTGATGGGAGCATGAGTGGCTGTGTCCTGCGGGGGGAACTGCACGCTCACCACATGCTCGCTGGCCTCTTCACCAGTTAGTTCATGTATCTTTGCCTGTCTCTTCTGCTGGACTATGAACAACTCAGAAACAGGGCCTGACTTACAATTTTTCTCATATTACCCACTGGGTTCCTAGGTGGAGCCCAGCGTGTGTTCATTGTTTTAACTGTTTTATGAAGCACCCCAAACCCCATAGGGTTAAGATCCCAAGACAAATAAGATCTGTACCTACCAGGGGTCGGAGGTCAGGATGTGAGAGAATGTACCCATTGTTGGTGTTCAAAAAGGCATATCCATGCACGCCAAGCTACAAAGACAGGGCCGAGGGAGACCAGAGCTGTGAGTGCTGGAGGACTGCAGGTGAGAAGGGGTTTGGGGCCACAGGCGGGTTAAAGACAGCAGCACACAGCAGATGGGAATATAACTGAGCCGGTGCTGTGCTTCAGCCATTAATTTCAAATTCCTCTCCTAATTCTACTGTTTATAGCAGCCTTAATAATGTATATCATCACTTGGCCTCTTTCCCACCATATGCTCTAGGTGCTTTGATGATAATCTCACTCGTTCCCCAAACAGGACTGTATGGCATGGAGGAGCAGATTGAGAAACTGAGGTACCAGAAGGGAAAGCACTTGCTAAAGGCCACAGAGCAAGTCAGTTCTGGTGGTAACAAAGGGTCCCAGGAGTCCAAATCACTGTGCCCGAGCTCAATGCCTGCACATCTCTGGGGGTGGGAGGCAGGGCCCCATACCAGCTCTGGGCTTGTCTGCACTGTCTGCAGAGAGGCTCCTGAGACTGGTGGGGCAGCTCTTTGGGAGCCTGTGACTCCCACTCAGCGACTTGACTCAGGCTCACCTTGTACCGGGGCGCCAGCTTCATCAGCTCTCTCAGGGCCACATCAGAGCCCACCACCCCTAGGAGAATGCCGTGGGACCGCTGGAAGGGAGAACACCAGGGTCAGGGGGAGATCTGGCTTCCCTGAACGCAGGGCCAGACTGGACCTCAGCCCCCCCAGAGCCTGGGAGAGGAAGCCACCTGGGCCTTATGTGGTCCTTCCTCCGCAGTTAGATTTTAGGCTGAGTTCCCTGGAATAAAATCAAGAACCTGGCAGAGAGCCCCAGGAGTAATCTCAGCTGCTGGGAAGATTAATGTCCAACATTAATATTTAAGATGTAATATTTAAATGAAATACAAAGTTGAATGAAATATTCACCTTCATAGCAGAAGCTGAAGGATTGGGATCCCAAGGACCCTAATCTACAAGTGGTCTGAAACACACAGTGCCTGTAAGGAAACATTTCCTGACCAGATAGAGGAAGGAAAGCTCTAGATATGTTCTCAACAAGCCTTTACAAACGAGTTACAGTCTGCCCGAACTGGTAGGTTAGGTACGGTTTTGCTGAAAGGCTGGCAGGTGACCTGTTAATCTTATATCCCTAAGGCAGTGTCCCAAATGCAGAGCAGTGGGACAGCCCCAAGCTGACTGAGCAGAACCACTGTGGAGTTTTGGGAAGTTGGACCAAACCTCAGCCCTCACCTTACCCTCTCTTGACCAAGAGATTCTGATGTAGCTGGTTGGGCACAGGGCCTTGAATCTGCATTTGCAGCTCTCCCAAAGTGGCTCTGATGCCAGGCCACACCAAGAACTATTGGTCTAAAGATGCCAGTGGTGGCCCCGCTGCAGCTTCTCAGGGAAGGCCACTCACCGTTTCATTCTTTTTGCTGAAGACTGGCATGGCCACGGTGGTGAGGAGCATCATGCTCTGTGCCTGTGCGGTGACGAGCTGCCAGGGAGGAAAGAGCAGAGGACAGAGGGCTCAGAGTTCACAGTGTGGAGCACCCATGGTCACCGGTGTCAACTAGTATGTCACCTTCCAACTGGAGGAAGCAATCCCAAATGAGCTTTCGCTTCTCTACAAAAGGAGAGCTGGCAGAAATTCTGGAGGAGAGAGGTGGGCTGGAGAATGACCAGGCCGTCACTGAGCCAGGGTGAGTCTCAGAATCCCAGAGCCCACAGCCCAGCTCCCAGGCACGCTCACTAAGCCCTCTTGTCTCGGATGAGAGCGAATCCATGGAACAGGCCCATCCCAGGCATGCCCAGAAACAAAAAGGTTTAACACAGCAAGAACTCTTCCAAAAAGCTCTGCTACAGACCCAATGTTGGCACAAACTACAGCCCAGGCCAGTTAAGAGGGAGAGCGACATTGACACAGGGCAACAGTCAGACACAAGTGCGTGGTGAGGGGCCACAGTGCGAGAGCAGGCTGTGGTGTGGTTGTAGTAGCCTCCAGTCATCCCCACTGCACCCCCACCCTCCCACGCAGGATGAATCTACAGCCTCCTCCCCACTGAGAACGCCAGAGCCACATCATTCCCGGCCTCCGAGATGGCCCTCCTCCCGACTCCTCACCTCACTGTGTTGGCTCCTCCAGTCCCCTTGGAAGGGGCTTCACACATGTGCCCCACTTTATCACAAAGATAGGCCCCGAGAAGTGGTATGTGTGGGTGTGTCTCATAAGCCTGACCTTCCTTAGGAAGGCTGCCTAGCCGTGGAGTCTACAGTAGACCTTGGGGAATGCAGAACTTTTAACAGTCAAGTCCCCACCCCCTTCCTCATCTGATTTTTCAGTTTAGAGTTTGAAGTAAGATTTCCTAAGAGCGAGTGGTTTCTGTTGACTGGAGTTCCACTGTTCACTTGGAACAAGAGGTCTGTAGAGACGATCAAGGGGACAACAGGAAGGGGTCTGGGTCCCTGGTGACCAGGGAGCTCCTCATTGGCTCTGGGGCTGCCACCTCTAGACGTCTTTTACATGAGGGAGAAATACACTTTTATTTAAGCCACTATTTGCAGGTCTGTCTTACTCCCAGTCTGAGGCATCATCACTGAAGCAGGTGTCTGTGGTGTGGTTTGCCAGGTACCAGAAGGTCCCGTTCCCCCAACATTTCAGTCTGACATTCTGCCTTTGATATCTCTTCCTTCCTGTAAGTTACTGCTGCCCACAGGCAGACTCTGTAAGTGCAGGGGCTAGGGAAGGGGACACTTGATGAAGCTATAGAATCTTGAATTACTGATTGGACTCCTTTTTCCTATAACAGGTGGGAGAGAGGACAATGAAGGAGGTGAGGACAACGGGAAGGAGGGAGGAACCAGCTTGGAGCAGAGGGGCTCAACCTCGGATGGGTCTGCTCACAGGGTTGCTGGGCCTCTGGGGCATCATGCAGGTGATGGGTCTGCTAGTGGGCGGGAGGGCTCACCCCGTTCACGTTTCCCGAGGTTGTGATCTGCTCTCCCCATTCCTCACCCAGGAAGTCACCTCTCATACCCTGGGGTCCCTCACTCTGGAGTGGTTTGGGGCCCACCTTGCTGTCCATGTAGGCTTCGGTCCAGATGATGTCGTGGTCGTGGTTGATGACCATGGGGCGGCTGAGCACGTGCAGGTACTCCATCACGTTCTCCTGGGCGTCAGCCAGAGTGGAGATCTGCGTGTAGTAGCCTGGAGGAGAGGAGGAGCCATGTGGTCGTGAAAGGCTGGGTGCTCCACGTGGAACCCTCTGCAGGGCCCACGCCCTCCCCCCAGCTGCTGACGGCTCACAGCTGGGCCCTTCACTGCGAGATGCTCTGGGCCACAGGGAACTGCTTTCCGTAAGGCTGTCCCTCTTCCAGGGGGTAGCAGGGGTCAGTGGTGCTGATGGGGACTCAAAGGCCCAGCCCCTGACTCACTTGGAGAACTGTAAGGGGCCTCCCGGCTCCAGAGCTGCTGCAGAAGCAGCAGGACCTCAATGGCAAGGGACATGTGGGTCAGCCTCTCCTCGAAATGCTGCTCTCCACACTTCCTTACCGGGGTAGCTCCCTCCTGCATGCAGCTCTGTCCAGGTCTATTTTCAGGGACCCCAGTCTGTCACAGCTGTCACAACCCCACCTCCTCCTTCCTTTCACTGCTGTCCTTCCTCAGTTATGGAGGGGGTGCCATAGCCTCTTCACTGGAGCCACAGTGATATTAAAAGAGCAAATGGCTTCCAAGGCCATGAGTGACTTAGCACATCTTTACCTCTCTGGTCTCACTGCTCGTCACCTCCCACAAAACATTTACCCCACACTCCGGGAAAGTGGAGCAGCTCTCAGTTCCCAGCATGCCTCTTGTCTCAGACCCTCTGAATGTGCTATTCTCCGTCTGGAACACCCTCCCTGCTCTCTATGTCTGACTCCTGCCTGTTCCTCATATGTCAGCATGGACACCCTTTCCTTCAGGAAGCCTTCCCGCCACCTCCAAATGGGGGAAGTGCCTCTGCCATTGTCCCCCAGCTCCTAGTACTGCCTTCCTGCCTGTGGCCCTCCGCCCTCCTAGGGCATTCAAGATGCTATCACCACTGATGCTTCACTGCTTTGTCTCCCCAGCTGGACAGTAGCAACAGCAAGCCTGAGCCCATCCTGACCACAGTTTGGAAAGTTTGCCAGGTATATAGTAGGTGCTCGATAAATTTTGGTTGAATCAAACCCAGGTCCAAACCTGAGGCCCAGGTCCTAGGTTCTGGCCAGAGATAGATGAGGACAGTTTGCACACAAAACATTATTCTAAAGAAAATGGTGACCCCCTGCTTTTTGTTTGGAAGTAGAATCAGAGTAAATGGGCTTAATTTGCAGCAAGAAGAATGGAGGCTGGACACAAGAGAGAACTTACATTGTAACATCAGTCACACCCCTGCCTCACCCTGTCTCTGCTGTGGTTTCTATGAGGCTTTATTTAAAGAGACAGCTCTCTCTTCTGGATAGATGACCTCTAAGTTTCATTTCAGGTGGCTTTATGGCTAAGAGTCCCTGGGGGAGTAATCAAGCTTGTATGGAGCAATCTGCATTTTGACTTATTTTTTCCGAGTGGGAAGGAGGGGCAGATACTCTCATCTCCACACTGCACCGCTCCTCGAAAGGCCCCACGCAGGGGCCACCACTCAGCACCCCCGGTGACCGGGCAATGCTGTTCCACCTGTGCTCAGGTAGAGGCTGCCGGGTGCTCTGCCCAGGTCACCTACCTTTGTTGTTGCACGCGATCCACTTCAGGTGGTCAGCAAAAGTGACTTCTCTCCCAATAAGGTAAGTGAAAACTCGCACCTAATCCACAAGACACAGATGAGCTCAGCAGCCATAGCTCCTGGCTGTGGGCAATGTTAACATAATGCACACGAGTCTTAGCTGTCAAGCACTTTGCCGACTTTGGAGCCTCCATTCTCACTCCTTTGGATCAGAAAGGGCCCTTGGGCCCAGGCAGCACGAGGACTCGCCAGGGCAATTTTCACATCTCACCACCATCTTCTGGCCTATTTCCCTGAGTCCTCTAGCATGAGTCCCCTGTGCGGAGAGTCACCATGATTTTGGAACTTCAATCTGGGACATCTGAATTTACTAATGGGCTAATGGGTAGATTCTTTGAACTCGGGAGGGCCTGGGTTTTCTGGGCCATCCATCACGGCAGTAGGAGACCGCTCCCCTTGTCCCCCACCCCCTTTGCTCCTTGACCACGACCAGGAGTAACCTTGCGGTCTGGCCAGTTGTACTTCTCAAACACTGGCTTATAGTCCTCCATGGCCCCGTCCGTGATCAGCATGATGGCCTGATTGCAGAGGCTTCCTTGCCGGGCCTCTTGGAACTGCACAGGGGAGGAGAAGCTCCATGACTACAGGCTGTGAACTACCCTCCCCACCCCTCCAGCCTGCCTTCCGCCCCTCCGCTCTCCCTCGGCTTCCTCAGGTGCAGTACCTGCTTCAGGATGTGGAAGGCTTCCCTCAGGGCTTGGCCCACGGCCCCCACACCTTTAACCATCAGCTCGTTCACAAGATGTTTGAAATGCTATTGCGGGTAAGAAACCAGAGGAGTGTCAGTGGATGGAGTGGGCCAGGGAAACTTCATCTTTGGTCTTAATTTCAGAGGCTGTGTAGAGCTACTGCCCAGGACCTGATTGCAGAATCCATCTCTCCATGGTCCAGTTGATTTCATGGCTGGACCCCCATAACAGATATTTCTCAAATGCTCCCAAGATAAACTGAGAGAGTGTGAGTGGCTGGGCATAATTCTATCCCCACTACTGCAAGAAAATGCCAGTGTCATTTCAGCCAGAGCAAGGAGGCCAGTCCAGGCCCATGCTCAGGTCCCCAGGTCCCCAGGTCCCCAGGTCCCCAGGTCCCCAGCATCCTCAGCATCTCAGCTCTTACCCCAGTGGCAAGCATTTTACAGGAGAAATTATGGAGGCTGCCAGGGGCTCCAACTCAAGGCCAGGATTCACGAGAAAGCCAAATCCCAACTCCCCAGGCACAGAGGGAAGGGCCTGTGACATGCAAACTCTCCCTTAAACAGAGTTGCCACATCCTTTCCTCTTTGGCCTTTGAAAAGGGCTCAGTACAGTAGGCTTGAATTTCTCCTCCTTTTGGGAAGCTCCTCATGAAAATTGACATAGTGGAAATGCCCAGGGGGAGGCAAAGGGGAAAACTGCGTCCTGGACAATCCACAGAGTAAAAAACCAGCCCTGAAGAAGAGGTTCCTCAGGTGGGAGGCCTCTCTTTCTCTCACTGCTGTGATAGGCAGGCAGCAGATTCATGGTGGCAATTTCGTGGACATATTTGTGGGGTAGCTGCAGGCCTGCTGTGTCCCTTTCCAAGTGCACAGATGACTCCTGCCATTCAAGGCAGAGCAGAGGCTCAGCCTCAGGCACTCACCTGGTGTGACACTCACCTCACGGTTATCTCGATCCGCCTGAACAAGGATCCCTTTGAAACAGGGCTCGAGGTAATGGACGTAGTCATTGTACTGCGGTTGCGGAGGGAAGAGAGGAGGGGGGAACAGACAGAGGCCTTTTGGAAAGTCAGGGCCCAGTGAAGAAGTTCAGGCAACTCACAGGGTGGGGTCACCTGAGCACCTGTGTATATTATCTTGGGGTACCCTGTGCTTTCAGCAATTTTTCTGAGTAGAGAGGTGGGAGTACAGAGAACAGCAGGGACTTAACTCTAAAAATTCTCCCTCAAATCCCAGTCTTGGTTCATTTTCTTGGGTGGCTGAGTCCTGTCCATCTCCTGGGGCACACAGGGAACCACATGTTACTGAGAGAGTCCCTGTCTCTGCCGCCACGACCAGACGGAGCGTTTTCCATGGGAATCCCAGGGCCCTCCACATGCAGACCCCTCCCAGTGCCTGGGTCCAGGGACTCGAAACTGTGCTTTTTTTCCTCCTTGCCCTGCACTGATGAAGATGGTCCTTTAGCTATCAACAGGCCCTGAGGGAGGAGCAGGAGCACCCCCTCTCTGGTGAGGTGGCGGGACCAGTTCCTGGAGCTGTCCTGCCTCTGCTGCAGGTCAGGAGCAGGGATGGAGAGGTGGTGGAGATGGGAGCATGCGGGTGGGTAGGTGACACAGGCCTTGGGCAGCAGCTCAGTGATAGGGGGGCCCTTCTCATAATCCCAGGATGACCATTTTGAAGTTAGACCATTCCGCCTTGGTATTTCTTTACTAGGGAAGTAAAGTCCACTAGAGATAAGCATTTTCAGCAATGTGGCAGCCTGGTGGAAGAAAGGTTTCGATCAGGTAGCCTTCAAAGTGGTACCCCAGGTGGCTGCCAGCTCTGCCTCTGTGGAGGGCTGGCCCCCTCTGTCACTGCATTTGAAAGCATCCTCCTAACTTGTCCCCTTTCCTTCCTGCTGTCTCTCTTCCAAACATGACGTTCTGGGGCAGGCAGAGCTACTCTCAGGAAGAGTTGCTGCGAAAGCAGGACCAGGGTTTGTTGGCCCTGTCAGGTGCTTCAACCCTACTTTCTCCTTTCTCCCGATGAGTCTGGATTTGGGATGAAGGGAGTGGGAGAACTGGGATTGTTGGAAGGCAGGAGCCCAGGGATCACTCGTCTTACAGCAGAATGGAGAGGCTGTTCAGCGATGGGAGCCAGCCAAGAGCACAGGGATGGGATAAATTAGGTGCTTACTNCGATGGGAGCCAGCCAAGAGCACAGGGATGGGATAAATTAGGTGTTTACTCAGGGCCAGTGCTTCTTAATCTCTGTTACATCCCAAATTAATGAACTCTGTGGACTCAGAGAAATGGACAAACACATAGTTTCAGAAACTCCACGGACCTCTTGCAGCCCATCCTTGGTCGGGCCCTAGGTTACGAGCCCGGCTTNTTTCAGAAACTCCACCGACCTCTTGCAGCCCATCCTTGGTCGGGCCCTAGGTTACGAGCCCGGCTTCAGAGGAATCACTCCAGCACGAAGCACCCGTGGCTGCAGGGGCAGGTCCTTCTGCTGCAGGCACAGGAAAGTTTCTCTAGGACAAGGGAGAGCTGTGCTAGAACAGGAAGGAAGGCGCACTCACCGCGATGATATTAACAAAGTCATTCTCTCCCAGAGTGTCCAGGATGGTGGCGATGGTGTGCTTGGCGATGGCCATCCGCAGCCCCTTCATGCTGCCGCTTGTATCCACCACGATCACTACATCCTTGGGAGAAGTAGCAGCTTGTATGTACCTTCAGCGGCAAGAAAGGGACAGGCCAGCAATGGGAAAATCAAAGCCAGAGCAACTACCCAATCTACTCTCGTTATTTCTGTTTGGATTCTGGCTCAAGTTTATCCGAAGTTCAGGTAGTTGCCCCATTGATGCCAGGTTGTATCACGTTCCATAACCACTTAGCATAGCTCTGAAGCCGTTTTAGGGTCAACAGCCGGGCATGTGCCCATCTACTAGGCCTGTCAGGTGGGAGAGAGGTCAAGTTCTTGTGGTAACTGTCCTCTTTGATTCGGACCGGCCAAGGTCGCGGAGGGGTGGGCAGCAGGAAGGGACAGAACTGGATTCCACCCTCAGATTCTGTTACAAGTCTGCTGGAGGAGGGATGTGGAGGGTGAGGGGAGCCTGGCAGAGGGCGGGTCTGGAGACAGCTCAGTGTCCTGGAGGAGCTGTGGGCTGGGAAGGACAATGCGACCAGCCCTGCAGCAAGGCAGCTGTGTGAGAGGGAGGCAGACAGTTTCTTCCTACTCGTGTCAGGTTAAGGTTCTACATCCCTGAGACCCTTGGACTGGGGGGCAGGGACTGGCGTAGAACTAGGCAAAACCCAAAGGTTGTAAGAGGGAAGCCGGCACCAGGGACCTTTCCCCTGGAACTCTTACCAGCCGCGGTTTCGGCAGTCGAAGGTGATGACTCCATTCTCGTCAGGCGTCCATTTGATGCCTGGGGAAACAAAGGTTGGTTCTTTCAATGGTTCAGTGAGGTTGCTCCAGAGCCTCCGCTGGGTGCTGACACCCAGGAATGCCATGACCCCCAGGACAGGGCCAGCGTGGACCTGGACAGCAGGGTGTGGGGCCACGAGAGCACCAAGTAGACTGAGGCAAAGGCAAGGAGGGAGGCCAGCTCAAGGGAAGGACACTCACCACCCACACTGCCCAGACCCAGAGTTGGGGTGAATCTCACAGGAGGACCCCTATGTGCTGTGCCTGGGACTCATTTGTGAGCTAAACCTCACATCGAATTGTGGAGGGGGAAGCTTCCAGAAGGCATGACTTTTAACATCCATTACCATCCAGCAAAAGCACAGACAGAGCGAAGATGCTCTAACTTCTAGCCCATCTGCCCCTAGTCTGGTTGCCTGTTGGTGCTCAAGGTCCTTCCCTTAGCTGGCTGGGAGAAATGATTGGCCACAAGACTGTAAGCTCCTTGAGGTCAGGGGTTCCAAGTACAGGCATACCTCACTTCATGGAACAAATTGAAAGCAAGGCCCTCCACCAGCAAAAAAGATTAGGACTCGCTTTGTTGAGAAACTTGCTTTATCTGGTGGTCTGGGACCGAATCCACAGTATCTCCAAGGTCTGCCTGTACCTGGCACAGTGTCTGATAGCACCTAGAGACCTCATGCGCAGTACATGTTTGTCATATGAATGGAAGAGCAAATGAATGGGTATGAAAGATCTCTCCTTGACCCACTGGCAGGGTGCTGGGGTAGATCCTGTCCTATTTATCAAATTAAAAACTTGGATAAATGCACACAGAGCACAGATAACACTGACATGCTCCACTATGGAATCTCTATTTGAAAATACTTTAAAAATTGGGAAGAGTGGGTTCACAATAAGGAGATTATTACATTATGTTTGGGCTAGAAAAATGTTGTGGTGTGTCATGAATGTCTAGAAGTTTCTGTTCCGCAGCAGTTAGACTCCAGATGAGATACACACTTTGAGGCACTGTTGGTCTGTCAAAGGGAGGAGAGGTTTCCAGGGAGCATATTCCCAAAACCAAACAAATGGGAGCAGAGTTCAAAGGGTGAGAGGCAGGGGCCAGAACAGTCAGGAGCCACGGCCTGGAAGGGAAGCAGGACAGAACCGTGGGCCCAGCTGGTGTGGTGGGAGCCCGGGGAGCATGGTTCTGACATCGGCCTGCAGCGGTGGTGAGCAGCGGGGTTTTAAGGACATGTTCCTGTCGCAGGGGTGTGGGGAATTTGACCCTTATAACAGTAACGAGGAGGAGAAAGTGAGTCTGAGGTTCTTGGCTCTGAACCAGAACCTTTGGTAGTCCAGGGTGGAGGTACCCTCAACTCCAAGAGGAAACAGAAGTGATTCTCTTGAGGGGAAGCTTTCCCAAGGATTCCCACAGACTGCAAGGGGCATGGCCTCACAGGCAAAGATTACCAAACACTCTGGGAACAGGCCCCTGCGAGTGAGAGGCAGCAGGAGCAAGAATACCAGGTGTGTCCGCCCAAGGATTACAGGTGTTGGAACCACCAAATGCGCAACTCAGGATAGCTGTGTTGGAGAAATCACAGGGAAGAATACACCAGAAAATGATTAGGAACCAAGAAACAGCCTGAAAAGTATGGAACTTTTGTATATGAGAAAATGTTTAAGTTGGAAAAAAACAAGCATAGTGGATTATTCACAAGTAGAGAGAAAATTCAGGCATTTGAAAGATTCGTCCAGAATCCTGTGGAAGCTAGAATGGAAGGAGAAGGTCTAATATGTGCCCGACTGGAGCCACAGAAAGAGAAAAGGGAGAGCACAAGGAAACACCATGACTACAACGACAATGTGGCAACGCCCCAGAACTGGTAAAAATACCAACCTACAGATGCAGGAAGCACAGCAGGTCCCAAGCAGGATAAATAAAAAGATATCCACTTGGAGACACATTCTAGCGAAGCTGCAGAACTCCAAAGGCAAGTAAATAAATACCTTGAAAGCAGCCAGAAAACTAGAACATTTGCTTTCAAAAGAACAGCAGTTAAACTAATAGCAGATTTTCTCAACATCAGTGGAAGCCAGAAGGCAGTAGAAAAATGTTTGAAGGCATTGAGAGAAAATAGCTGTTAATTTAGAAGTGCATTCCCAGCAGAGCTATCACTCAAGAACGAGGAGAGAAGACGACAGTGTTGTCTTCTGAGTTCTACTTGGGGTTGTAGTTCCCGGAGCTGTTACTTACTGTAACCTGTTTCTCAGGGGTGTGTCACTAAATGGAGGCTTAGTCAGTCACTTGCCTCCAATAAAAAAGAAATAGAATTTGGTCTTTTCTGCTTAGATAGAATGACAACAGGAAATGATTTGTGGAACTTGCAAAAAAAGAGAATTAATTAAAAAAATGAGAATAAATAAAACATTTGTAGATAAACAGAAGCTGAAGCAGCTTAACACCAAGAGCTCTACTAGAAGGGACAAATAAAATGGTCAACAAGTAGTTAACACCAAACAAGCAATGTTTGCATCAGATAACATAATACTATCTAATTTGTGGGGACAAAAATGGAAATATTAGATGATAAGAGGACGGAAACCAGGGTGGGAGAAGGAGATGTAAGTGGAAGAGTTCTGAAGTCCTTTGTTGACTGGAAAAAGGGTAAAAATATTATTTAATTTTAATATCTTGTTAAATATGCCTGATAAGGGATAATTACTGAAAGAATATAAATAGAAGAATAAGTTCTAAACTGATAGAAAGAAAAAGAGATAAATAACAGAGGATTTATCAAAAAAGGTTAATCATTAAAAAAGACAAAAAAAGAGATAAAGGAAACAAAAAATAGAGGGACAAACAGAAATTTTAAAAATTAGATTATTAAAAAAATAAGATAAGCATGTTTAACTATATCAATACAATCAATGCAAATGTGCTGAACTTGCCAACTAGTAAATGAGACTGTTGGTCTGGATAAAAATTTTAAAGCTATAGGCTATTTCCAAGAGATATGACTAAAACAAAATGACACAGAAAATTGGAAGTGAAATGATGGAAAAATATATATCAGGATAATCAAGGGCATTCTGGTATTTCTTATGAATTTCAGACAAAATAGATTTAAAAACAAAGTGTAATAAAGACAAATACAGGTCAAGTAGACATAAAACCAGCAAAGATATAGAAAATGTAAACAATACAATTAACAAGCTTGAGCTAATGACATATGCAGAGTTTTTCATCCCACATTCCGAGTTCACAAATTCTTTTCAAACTCACTTGAGATATTTATAAAACTTGATGATATACTAGACTATTAAACTAAATTTCAACAAATTTCATATAATCAGTACCACATATATCATGTTCTCTGTCTATAAAGCAATTCAATTAGAAATTTATAATGATAATTAAAACAGTACCATGACACCAAAAACACAGGCAATAAGCTCTGTGTATCAAATGACACAGTCAACAACAACAAAAACACCCATGGAACGGGGAAAAAAGTATGTGCAAATCATATATCTGATAAGTAGTTAATATCCACAATATATTACAAAAACTCCTACAACTAACTCAACAACAGAAAAAGCTCAATTCAAAAATGAGCAAAGGACGTACGCAGACATTTCTCCTAAGAAGATACACAAATGGCCAAAAAGCACATGAAAAGATGCTCAACATCCTTAATGATTAGGAAAATGCAAATGAAAACCATGATGAAATACTGCCTCACATACAGTAGGATGGCTGCTATTGAAGAAGTGGAGAAATTGGAACCCTTGGGCACTGCTGGTGGAAATTTGAATGGTGCAGTTGCTATGGCAAACAGTATGGAAGTTCTCCCCCAACTTAAAAACAGAATTACCATGTGACCCAGGAATCCCACTTCTCAGTGCATACTTAAAAGAATTGAAAGCAAGGTCTCAAAGAAGTATGTATACATCCATACTCATAGCAGCATTATTTACAATAGCTAAAATGTGGAAGCAAGTCAAGTGTCCATTGACAGATGAATGAACAAACCAAGTGTGGCAGAGCCTTGCAATGGAATATTTTTCAGCTTTATAAGGGAGGAAAATTCTCATACATGCTACAATGTGGATGAACCTCGAGGACTTTACACTAAGTTAAGTAAGCCAGTCATAAAAAGACAAATACTGTAGGATTCCACTTATATGAGGTACCTAGAGTAGCAAAAGTCATAGGAATAGAAGGTAGAATGGTGGTTGCCAGGGGCTAGGGAGGAGGGAGTGGTGAGTTATTTTTTAATGTGTACCAAGTTTCAGTTTTGCAACATGAAAAGAGTTCTGGAGCTGAACGCTGGTGATGATTGCACAGCAATGTGCATATACCTAATGCCACTGAGTCATGCATTTAAAAAAGTTAGAATGCTAAATTTTATATGTATTTTACTATAATTAATAATAATAACTCACTACCAATCAAAACTTGTGAGATGGAGTAAAAGTAGAGTTCCTATGATAAGGTAGAGCCATAAACACTTATTTTAGAAACAAAGAAAGGCTAAAAATTAAATCTAAGTGTCCAACTTAATAAGTTAGGAGGAAAAACAACAGAATAAAAGAGAAAAAAAGAAGATAAAATTAAAGCTAAAATAGATAAAATTAAAAACAAAGAAATAATACAGAGCAATCAACAAAGACAAAAGGTGATTCCTGAAAAGACTAACATATAGAAAAATCAGTGGTAGTATGATAAAGGAAAAAAATGAATAATAATATAAATAAAAGGAAGACACAATTACAGATACAGCAGAAATTTAAAAGATAGTAAGAGAATAATAGCTTCACTGAAATAGATTTGAAACCTCAGATGGAATGGGTGATGCGAGATATCTCTACATTGCTGTTGAACATGTTAGTGAGCATGCCCCATTTCTCCAATTAAGATGTAAACTTCTTAATATCAAGAATAGTTTTATCTCCCTTGCACCTTCCACAATGCTTTCCATAGGAGAGAGTTCAATGTGGGCATTTACTGGCTAGTTACCATGGTGTTTCACTCACCATTCATTAACCCATCCATCCATCCATCCATCCATCCATCCATCCATCCATCCATCATTCATTCATTCATTCATTCAACAGCTATTTGTTGAAAATGTGCATATTATGTTGTGAAGAGTGTCAAAGTGTGGGTTGCAGGTGCCTTTGGATAGCAGGGAATCTGAGTACCAGGGTCTATCTTCAGTACTTCTAATGCCTTATTCCCAGAGAAGAAGCCTAGAGGATCTTGGCGATGCCTCCCCTGTCCTCACCTGGATAGATCCTAAAGAATCCCGTTGAGCTGCCAAAATATTGCCAGGTTAGTGTCGGGTCTCTCTGGAAGTTCTCCACAAAAACAGGGTTCAAGGCTTCAGACATGTAGACTCCATTTAAAATATCTGGGTCTGAAGGGTGAGATTGTAAAAGGAACTTCAGGGCACACTAAATCAGGAGCAACAGTGACCAGTCCTTCACCTGCCGCACACCCATGCGTGCACACATGCACACGTGCATGCACACAGAGCCTGCAGTGATGCAGCTCACAATTTCCTTCTACATCTCACTTGGAGAGCCACACGCACACCCTCTAAGCCAGGAGCACCGAGTTTTCCATCCCCCAGGCTCCTGTGGAAGGATCCCCTTCCTCAGTCAGGGAGGCTGAAGAATCAGTTGACCCCCTGAAGGGCTTCTCCGGAAAATGGGGGCGAATCATTAACCTCCACCAGCTCCACCCCAACAACCATGCCAGGCCGCGGGCCGGGGACTACCTTTGTTGTACACGTTGGTGGGCAGCTGCACGCTGCTGAGGGACGTGTTCACCATCAGGTTGCTGAAGTGCGCGTTGGGCTCCAGGACAAACTCAGCCCCCAGCTCCACGTGCTCGCCACTGGCATCCCGCTCGTTGACCAGGGCTGCGTTGTAATAGTCAAACTAGGGCCGAGGGGAACGGGCGGGACAGAGACAGCACCCACGCAGGCACCGACCCACATCGAAGGCGTGAGAGAAAGAGAAATGGTTCAATCAGGAGACTGAGATATGAGAGACGTCAGATGGACTGACAGTGTCCACACAAGCTCCACCTGGGGGCATTCAGGCAATGACCCAAAGGATTCGGGGCTAATACGTATCCAGATAATTGGAGCAGGTGGTTGATTCAATTGGGTTTTGATGTAAATTGTCTGGATTATTGCTCAATTCTCTGCTTTGTTTATCGTGTGTGGACACAGCCAGGGATGGAGACAGGCAGACAGATTCCAGGAGAGATAAAGAGACAGAGGCAGCCTTGCAGCACCACCAGCCTCTTCAGTGCGGGAAGACTCCTAGGGACCCAGACAGGGGGCTCTGAGAGGTGAGGCCTCCCTCTTTAACATCCTGTGGCCGGGGTGCCCATGAGGAGCCAGCAGTCTGCTCTCTGCTCTTAAACACAGTGTTGGAGCCGCTTGCAGCCGTAATCAGACCCTCTCCCCCACTTCTCCATACCACGTGGTTCAGACTGGAAGTGTGCCCCTCAGCCCCGCTCCCCGTGTCCTGCCCATGCCACCACAGTGCTGCCACTGATTGGCTGTGTCCTTCTCCAGCTCAAAGCCTTCAATATGTACCTCTCAGGACAAATAAAGGCCAGAGTCCTACCTTTACCATGGTCACTTTCTGCTTCACCATTCCCTGGACAGAGAGAGATGACCACTGGTAATGTCCTCAATCTTGTGTATTCCTATTTCTTTTCCTTCGGCTTGGAAACACCCTCTTCATGCCCTCAGCTGATCAAATTCCCCTCAGCCCAGGCCGGTGTGGAGGCTACCCTATCTTTGGACCTTCTGAGCCCCTCCCCTTCCCTTCTGCATGGTTGAACATGTTACCATTTGTATGAAGACATTATAGGCCTTATGCTAGAGTTATTTGGTCTATGAGCTTCTTGACTTTACCTGGGCAGAGGCTAGCATGTAGCACTGGGTGATAAATGTCTGTGGAAGAGTCGATTGCCATTCTACACCCCTGCCCCAGATTTGGTAGCTGACTCTCCTACTTGGCCCATAAATCCTTTCTCAAAAGACTCCGGAGCATTTGAGAATCAAATTATTGTAGGTTCATACAAATCCTGAGCACGTTAAAAGATAGTGCTGGACCTCCCCTCCCCCTACTCCTCCATATTCTGTACTCAGGTGACTGTCCATTGCTGGGGGTGGGACATTAACCATGATACCCTCTCCGCAGCAGCTCTAGGAACAGGAGGACTCACCACCAGAGATTCATTGAATTCATGGTTCAGGTCAGCCTCCTCGGCGGCCTCTACCAGATTCTGAGGGATGGGAATACAAAGGGGAGATGCATGGGCCAAAGGAGTCAGTGGGTCTCAGTTCCACTCCCAAGAATCTACCCAAAGAGAACTGAAAGCAGGGACTCAAACAACAACTCGTGCACAAAATGTTCACAGCAGCACTGTTCACAATAGCCAAAGGTAAATGCATATTTCCAAGTGAAAGAAGCCAGTGTGAAAAGGCTACATACTGCATGATTCCAACCACATGACACTCTGGAAAAGGCAAGACTGCGGAGACAGTAAACAGATCAGTGGTCACCGGGGTTTGGAGAGAGGGATGAATAGGTGTAAAACAGGATTTTTACCCCAGTGATACTATTCTGTATGATCTATACTGGTAGGCGCATGTCATTATGGGTTTGTCAAAACCCACAGAATGTACAACACCCCGAGTGAACCCTAATGTAAACTATGGACTTTGGGTGATAATGCTGTGTCAGTGGAGGTTCATCTATTGTAACTAATGTATCACTCTGGTGGGGGCTGTTGACAGTTGGGGAGTCTGTGTGTTTGTGGGGGCAGAGGGCATATGGGAACTCTGTACTTTCTTCACAATTTTGCTATGAACCTAAAACTGCTCTAAAAATAGTCTGTTTAAGTGTGTGTGTGTGTATACATTTTAGTCATGTTAAAGTGTGCAATTCAGTGGCATTAGGTACATTCACAATATTGTGCAAGCATCACTATCTAGTTCCTGAACTTTTCACTACCCCTAAATAGAACCCTGTGCCCACTAAGCTGTTGCTCTCATTCCCCTTTCTCCCTGGCTCCTGGCATCCACTCATCTGCTTTCTGTAATTGGATGTTCCTGTTCTGGATATTTCACATAAATGGAACCATACACTATGTGACCTTTTGTATCTGGAGTCTTTCACTGAGATGTTTTTAAGGTTCACCCATGTTTTAACATGTATCAAAACTTCATTCCTTTTCATGGCTAAATAATATTCCATTTTATGGATATCTCATATTTTGTTTATCCATTCATCAGTTAATGGACATTTGGGTTTTTTCCACCTTTCAGCTGCCGAATATAAATATACACAGTTTTTGATTGTCAATTATATTTCAATAAATCTAGGGGAGGGCAGGGCAATGGAGAAGGTCTGAGCTCCTATTCTGGCTTTGTCAGGGACAAGCCACTAAGCCTCTCTGGGTCTCTATATAACTGTAAATTGAGTAGAAGAGTCCTTAACTTCCCTACTCCCATCCCCCAGTTCCTAGGATGTGATGAAGAAATTCCATGGGGCCAAAATTATTTTAGTGCTGCTTTGCAGGAAATTTCCTGTGGGTACTCCCATAGAAGAGTTGGTGGCTGTGCTTCCCCCCCCCCTGCCCTGAACCCCCAGCAGGGAGCAGGGACTGGTGCTTGGAGAAGGTTTGCAGAGCAAATGCTGGTTTGATTGGTTTCCCGAGGTTGAGGCTATGGGAAGGCCACAGGGCAACTGGAGCCCCAGAGCCTGGCCTCTGGGGGTGAGCCAGGACTGCTGGGCTCTAGCACCGCCCCCTGAAGTGGTGTGCTCCTGCATTCCAGAGTCTGTGCTCCGCCCAAGGAGGCGGTTTCCACAGCCTTGCAGACTGAAGGCTGTAGGGGTACTGCTGGGCTAGTTCTGCGAGAGTCAGTGTCCCCCTGCTACAGGCCAGGCTGGGCTCTCCAGCCCCCAAGTATCTCCTCAGTGGTTCCGGATGCTAAGATCCCTTGCCCCTAAGCCTGGAGAAAAGTGACTGCAAATTATAATGTGGGAAAGAAGGCCCCAGCGATTTTACAGGATTCCCCCCAGGTGATTCTTTCGATGGGGGAGGTGGGAGATAGGCAGGCGGGCTGGCCAGGCTGCAGCTTCATTCCCCACTTCCCGGCCTCAGCGCCGGCCTCAGCCTCCCCTCCAGCAGTTTACTATCCAGCCTCTACTCCTCTCTTCTGCCTCCCCAAAGGAATTTTTTGAGGGACAACATTGGTATTGGATGGCCAGATTTCTGCTCGGGTGGAGCAGGCACTAAGTCTCTCCAACCATCCAGGTCCCCACAGCGCTGGGGTAGGCAGTTCATGCCAGGGAAGTGACACATTCTGTTTCAATCAGCCAAGCCAGGCTCGGCGGCCATGCCGTGTGGAGTGGCCTGAGCAGGGGGCCCGTCACTGTAAGCGCCTATGCTGTCCGGGCAGCCCCCAGAGCACTAGGGCCGATATGGCAGAAGGGAAATGGGTGGAGGGGTGAGTAAGGGAGAGAGAAAAGAGGAGGGGGGAGCTTTACTTTGCATGCTCTCCATCCCTCTATCCTCCCACCCGTCCGCCACCCATGCGTCCACCAGCCAGCCGGCCAGCGGGTGGCTCCTCAGGGCCCATTTTGTTCCTGCTCTGCACCTGTCACTGGACAGAGCGGTGAGATGCAGAGTCCCTCCTAACGCTGCAGGTTGGTCCTGTTGCATTGGATGCTGTCTCTAAGGCAGAGCTCTGCTCCCAGCCCTCCCCTCTCCCCTGGCTCCCCATCGTTTCTTCCCTTACAAGGCTCTTTGGGCCATGGGGATATAAGGCCGAAGCTCGTGAGGTAGGATGTGGGTGAGAGACCCAGGGCCACGGGATCAGTGGGGGTCATTTTGGTGTGACAGGCTGGGTGGAGTCCTCCCGCCCCCCTCCCCCCTCCCGGCTCCCCGGATCATAGGGTCTGGGGCACCTTCACGGCCTCCACTTTCCTTCGGAGCATGGTCTCCATGTCCTCTGAGAACTTCCTCACCAGCTCCAAGCCATCCACCTCCTGGATCCTCAGGCTGGGCTCCACATCCTTATATTTCTGTTAAGGGGAATGTGGGAGAAAAGGGCACCTGTCATCTGGCACCAGGATGTCTGGTACCTGATTACACGTGATCTACAGTCCTCTCAACTACCACATTCAAGCCCATGAGGCCTTGTTTACTCAGCTAGAGGCAAGGACAGGCCCTTTCCCCCTCACATAGTCTCCCCAACTAACAATACTAGCAGCCTCTTATCAAATGTCCTCTCTTTTCCAGGGGCTCTGGACACATTTTGTTAGTATCCTTAAGAGGGAGGAGACTGGGGCTCAGAGAGGTCAATGAACTTGATCAAGGTCACACAGCCAGGTCTCTGAGACTTCTATGTTCTCTGTGCAGCCATGCTTGCCATCTCCCCGGGGCTGTTCAAATGGACTGCGACACCTCCCCAAGCACCAGTTCATCTTTCCCCCAAGCCCCATGATGCACATCACGTCCAGACCAAATTCAGTGGCACCAAACTGGCAGGGAGCTTAGGAGAGTTCAGAGAGCTGGTTTCAAATTTACTCTCTGGGGCCGTGGGAGATAATCTTTCCCAGAGGGTGCGAGGGTTCATATCACCTTGTCTAATGACCCAGTTCGGCAACATATGGATCACATGACCTTCGGCAAGTTATTCAGTCAGTTTCCTCATTCGCAAGAGTGACATTTGCATAGCTTTAGAGAATGTTCTAGAGTGCATAGACTTAGAGAATATTTTACCCAAAACGGCCACAATAATTATTGCTTATTTCTCTATCTTTCTCATCCGGGGTTAGAGGGCACAAATGAGAACACTCAATGAAATGGTACTTTGCAGAGTAGCAGTGTGGCGTGAGTGGGGAGTGGGATGAGCTGTCATTGTTTCAGTGGCCTGTGGGGGCCCAGGGCTGGGGCACCTTGGCTCCTGCTTCCTCCTGTGGGCTGTCGGGAATGCGAGACAGGAAGGGGCTGCCTGGTGGTCAGGAGTGGGCATAAAAGCCTGAAGGTTGCTTTTAGCATCATTTAGAAAATGGCTGCAGTCACCTCATGAAGTTGTGGTGAGATTAAATCCTGAATATAAAGCTCTTAGCAAATGGTAATAACAGAGAATGGCAAGCTATTATTAAAACTGGTCTGGGAGTTATAAATATCAGAGGAAGATGAGGTTGTTTATAATCTTGTAAGAGGACAGGCCAGGTGTCAGTCTACACATAAGGCAATTAATCAGTGAGGACCAGGGTTGCTGGTGCCCGGTCCTCCCCGTCTGGCCCTGCGTCCTGCCCAGGGGCCAGGCATGGCCCAGACCCCTGCTGGGGCCCATGTGAGCTCTGCAGCCCCCAGCATGGCTGGAGCTCCGAGGTCTGGAGGTAGGGGAGCTCTCCCTGGACAGAGGCCACAGGCGGGCTTGTACCGCCCAAAAGCTGCAGCAGGACTTTCCCCACAGTGCCGGCTGAGGCCCCACTCACCCCTCCCCCTTCTGCCCTGTCCCCTTTCGCAGGCGTCAGGCCTGCATCCCCGTCTGCTGCTCCTGCTTTCACCTCTCTGTTCTTCACAGCTCCTCCCCCAAGAAATCTCTCGTCTGTCTAATTCCATCTTGACCTCCGCTTCCTGGGGATCTGAGCAGACCCTATGCTCTTGACCACCCCACTGATTGCTCTATGACTTGGGCAAATTGTTCCCCTCCCTGGGTCTCAGTTTCCCCCTCTGAAAATGAGGGGATTAGATTAGAAGATCTCTAAGGCCCCACACAGCACAGACTTTCAGGGATTCTGGGTCTCCGCTCCTCTCCCTGGAAGGGCTCCCTGGCTGACCACCCTCTGACCCCGTGGGCTCCCTGGAAGGGGTTACTGACCTTCTGCAGCAAGAGAGAGCCTGAGTATTTGGTCACGGTGTCATACAGGTCCCCGCCAAAGGTGTCTGCCCACAGCTTCACTCTGCCAGGCCACGAAGGTACATGTGTACACACATGTGCACACACACACATATGGAGACACGACATAGATACACACACATGCACTTATAAAACAAGTGTCTACATAAATAGACACCCACTGATGCACAAGTGCACACACAGAGACACACATGATACACAGAGATTCACACACTAACGCACATATACACACAAATGCATACACACAGACATATTCCCAGAAAGACACACACGAACTCCTGTCCCTCCTGGCCATGGCAGGAGACTCAGAGGACCCACTAGGGGCTCAGCATCTGCACTGAACATGCTGCATCTCCCGCTGAGGGGTGAGGGCCAGGGGCTGATGAGCCAGAACCAAAGCCTGACTGCCCTCAGGCACCCAAAGGCTATGGTTTGTGGGTGGAGAATGGAGAACAGGGGAGGAGAAGAGGCTGTGGATGGGTCCAGGGCAGGGCAGAGAGGACCCTGAAGATAGACACAGGAACAGCCTGGCACAGCGGCAACTTCAGTGAGTCAATCCCTCTCCAGCGTTCCCAGCTCAAGGTCGCTGCAGGCTGCTGCATCCTCTGTTGAAATTTCAGAGGGAGCATGAAGCACAGGGGCAGAGGAAAAGGTCCTCAGCTGCTTTTGCTCCTGCTGAGGGCAGCCCAGGATGGGAGGGGACGAGAGGCCACACCTCACCCTTGATGCAGGCAGCCTAGTGGATAAACCCTGACCTCTTGTCTGTCCCCAGAAGGATATCAAGATCTCACCATCTGGACAGGCTGGAGGAGTCCTGGGGATAGGCACAGGCTGTGTCCGAGCCTCTCCAGATGGAGCAAACAGAGTTTGCCCACGTGATCACTTCGAGATCAGCATTTATTCAGTCATTCAACCAATATCTATTCACTCCTACACGCCAGGCATTGTGCAAAGTCCTGGAGGCACATCACAGTCCTCACCTTTGTAAAACCTTCCCTTAGAGGGACTCCCCTTCATATACAGATAGCATAATACATGTTCGAAGGGGCACCAGTGAAGCTTGGGGAGGGCTGGTGGTGATGAGGGAAGGCTTCCTGGGGGAGGTGGGATCTGAGTTGAGTGTTAGAAGCTTGGGAGAATTTAGTGTGACAAATAGATTTGGAAGCAAATTCTAGGTGGAGTAGAGCTTGGGGGAGACAAACGTGACTTCTAGGTTAAGCTGATGGTGGTGTTACTAAATAAAATTAAGAATATCAGGAAAACATGGAAGCAAGTTGGGAGGGTGGAAGGTCATGGATGTAGCTTGGGGTATGTAGAATGTGGGGTTTCTGCTGCTGAGCTATGCTGCAGAGTGATGTTGGGCAGGTTGTGTGCTGCCCAACTCCACAAAGCACCAATCGCTTTGTATCTTGAAAAACACAAACTTGAATTTAAAACCTTGCAAGATGTTCAGGAAGAGCTGTCCATAGGCAATGGATATATGAGTCTAACCGGTAGAGGCAGGGCTAAGAGTCATTGGTATGTGGATGGCAGTTGAAATTCTGAGAGTAGATGGGCTCTCTCAAGGAGAGAGTGTGTATCGTGAAAAGAGCTGAGTGGATGACAAACCCTGGGGAACACCAACAATCTCAGGGGCAGGCAGAGGGAAAGGAGCACTTGACAAAGACAGAGAGGTAACAGGTGCCCAAGAAGACCCAGGAGAGCACAGTGCTATGAAAGTTGAGGCACAGAACCTCAAGGAAAAGGAAGAGGCTAGTGTCAGAAACAGGAGTCCAAAGAGATAAGAGCAGAGATATTTACTGGATTGGGCAATGAGGGTCCTTGATGACTTGGGTGGGAACAGATGTGGGGGGACAGTAGAAATCAGGGCAGGTGTTGGAGGATGAGGGCTGAGTGGGAGGGATGGTGTAGCTCCACAGGACAGAGATTCGGGGACTCTGGGGTGGGAAAGACTGAGAAGGATCCGTGGGAGAGGGGAGGGGGGTCAAGGTCCTGGGTGGACACCTGGCTCCAAGGGAGTGGACAGGTGCAGATGTGGCATGTTTGGGGGCCCTTAACCTCAGTGACTCTCTCTGGAAGTTTCTATGCCAATGGTCTACTGCAGTTCTCAGTCAAGGCCTGGATTCCAGTTATCGCGACTTGGCACTCAGCCTGACCCTAGAGTTTGCCTTCTACTGTTAACTGCTGCGTATTCTGGGGATGAAAATTGTTCTCAACATCTCTGTCAACAATGGATAGTTTTCAGGCAGCAGTGGGTGTGATAGTGACACACAGGCCAGGCCGACTTGAGGTCAGATTCTGGCCCTTCCATTTACTGGCTACGTTAACTTGGGAAGTCGCCTCGCCTGCAGAAGAGGGATGCTGTCACCCACCTCACTGACCTGCTGTGTGGACTAAAGGTGTCATTTGTAAAGCACCTGACAGCATGCCAGGCATAGAAAAAGTAGAGGTTATACAACCAGATGGCAACAGTGCTGCGCAAATCCACCTATCGGCAAAGCTAACGCAAACATTGTGTGTTGCCTTGGCGCCCTGTCCCCACTTCTGTTAAGACGTGAGGTTGACAGCTGGTTCTGGAAGCCTGACTCTCATGCTGCATTTGAGAGGCTAGACTTCGATGTGGACTGAGCAGGTAAACCCCTTTAGTCTACAGCACTTTGCTCCCACATGTATTGAAAACTGCTTTAACAGGACCATCAGAGCCAAGGACTAAAAACAGATACTCCCAGAGGGGTTGCACAGTAATTTAAATCTATACCAAAGTGTAAATGACTGATACGAGGTCTTCATGACAGGGTGTAGAATCAGGGCCTGGAGGGAGGGCGAAAGGCAGAGGGGGGGATGACTGAGACCACCAAAGTCCAATTTGACCTAATTCCTGGTTGCATGAGCCATTTTCTTGATTTAGAACTGCTTTACCCTTTCAGAATGTTAAGAGGAATTTCCTAACAAGTCCTTGGGAAGCCGCAATAATCATTTTGAGTCAACACGGCTCCCACTCCCAGGCACCTAATGGCAGCGATTGTCCTGGAAGGAGCATCACCCTGCAGGTGCTCCAGATGCTGCTTGCCATCCCATTGGGGAGTGCGAGCGCTGCTGATCAGGTCTGCTTACAACCATGGCGGTGGTGGTGGGGGGGCAGCTGGGGCTCCCAAATGGAAGAGAGGATGGTGAAGAAAAGGTCTTCACCCCAAGAAAGGGAGCGTGGCCCCCAGGGGAGAGCCGGAGGGAGATCAGAGGTGGGATTGAGGTCTGCCAGGGGGAAGGAAAGGAGGAAAGGGTAAAAGGGTTTTATGGGGAGGGGGCTGAATTGGATGCTCACGTTTCCAAAGGAATCTTGGCCTGCCCCCACGCGGGGGACAGGTAGGTGCTGGACAGCAGCAGACACAGGATGACTGCAGTCTTCCGCAGGGAGGGCCTCAGGCAGCAGGGCATCCTGCTGGAGGTGGAGCTGGGGTCTGGGTGGGACCTGGGAGGTCTGGGCACACTGCTCCTGCTGGGGTCAGAGCGTGCGAGAGGAAAGAGCTGTTTCAGACCCTGGGCTCTTTCTGCCTGTTACCCAGACCCTAGGATGCTCCCAAGCCTTCTGCTTTTAGGGTCCTGGCAAGCCTGAGGCTCCCAAATTTCAGTCCGGCCTTGGCAGCAGTGCCTGGCAGGAGAAAGGGCTTCTCTCTGCCCCACAGAGAACAGCAAGAGAGGACCCGCCTTACCTCACTAGCAGGCTTCCAGGAGAGGAGCTGCCTGTGGCAGGGGAGGCTGTGACAAATGAACCTGTTAATCCACTGGCCTCTCCTCTAATCCCCAGGCTGACAGCAGGGAGGAGGGGAGTTGGCAGGAGTGACCTCAGCAGGATTACTCTGATTTCAGAAGACAGGGCTCACCCATTTCCTTGGGGGTCAGAGCATACGCTCCTGCTTTAAAGAGGCAGCCCTTGTGGACCCAAGCAGAGGAGGACACTGACACTGGCCCAGGACAACAGCTGACATTTGCCCAGAGCTCCGATTTACCAAGAACTGTAACAAATCCTCTTTAAACCTCAGAGTGATCCTGGCAGGTCAGTGTCATCCATCTCTGTTTTCAGGGGCTCTTGAGGCACAGGGAGGCTTGGGGACAGAGTTGAGAGTACAACTCTGGCTCATGTCTCCAGGCCTGCTGCCTTGGGCCCCAACAGCCCCATATTGCACCTGCTCCTGGTTCTAGTTGAGGGGCACAGTGGCTGGGAAGCCGATGAAGCTTCAGGGCCCCTCCCTGCGTAGCAACATGTTCTTAGTATGTGCAAAGGGAATATTGGCCACAACTGGTTAAGACTCTGTTTCTTCCCATTTCAGCTCTTCTCTGTCTGATTTCCCCTCAGTTGGGTGATGTTTAGTGGCTGTGCACATTGTGGGGATCTAGCTAAGAGGAAGATGAGTTGAGGAAGCATTTAATTTGGACTTAGTGGGATATACTTATGCAGCTCACAATTACTTCCTTGTATAGACAAGTTATCCCCAACCATCCTGGAGTAGGAACACTCTTAGTGCTGACTGGCCCTGCGCCAGGACGCTCAGGAGCATCAGGAGTTCATCACGGTGTGAACATCCTACAGCGCCCCCTGCTGGAAGTACGTGGGAGGGGAGAAAAAAAAAATAAAGTTTGAAATACCCTGAGCCAGAAGTTAGTCTGGAAGAGCCTTCCGAAGATTAAATAAATAAAATTGTCAGCAGAGGATTTGATTCTCATCAGGGCCTGGCCAAAATGGTTCTTTCTGGTGAGGCAAGCAGTTGATAGTGGAAATGTATACTTGTGAACATGCCACACATTGTCTTCTCTCCCAATGGGGATTACACAAAATGGAATTTGAACAAAATTCTTGCATTTGTGGGTGCAAACTGGTAGTAGTACCACAAGGGCACTGTACATAACATCACAGTTTACTCGTTCCACGAGTCAGAGTGCTTCTTAGTCTATCAGAGGCATCGCGTCCTGGCAAAATCTGCTGGCTCCGGCGAAGTGGCAGGCAAAATTGCCACCAACGCAGAGATGTCTGAAGAAGCGAGTGTTCCGGGGACAGAACTCCTACACACTCATCAGGGAGTCAGTGTTGTAGCATCAGAGTCATCTGGTGGCACAGCTATGTGGCTCGACACGCGTGGCAGCGAGTTTAAGTGTATTTGAATTCTTTCCACAGGAACCTTGACTTCAGATGACTTCTGTATATTTTTCAGGATTACAAATCATCCCAGATTTAGGAGAAGTACTACAGAGGTGTGTGGGGCAACTAATAAATAAAAAGAATATATAATTTTTCTAGGTTTTGTGATTTTCATGGTATTTATCAACTTCTTAAAATTTGTACTTTAAAGTGGCTTTTTCATTCTAAATAAATATTCACTTTTGTATCTCCTTTTGTATTTATAATTTGTATTCTTTTTCTTTTATGCACGACCACCTGCAAACAATGCAAGCTCCCAACCCCACAGAACCCGGCCCCGTGCCTCGTTGTAGCTCCTGCTGATGGAAGCCACGGCCTTGCCCTGACGTTTGAACATGGGAGCTGCTTAGAAAGCTTTGTCCCTGCCATTGTACTCATTTCACAGGCACAGTGGTGGCCTGGGTCTCACCCAGCCCCTTACCTCTGCTTGGGAAGCACTCAAAGTACTTGAAAAATACTGATATTATAACGGTGAGTAAAGTAATATTATGTCTTTTCAAAGACTGTTAAAGAACAAAAAAAATCAATCAAGTGCATTTGAAGATCTAATTGGTTTTATAAAAGATTCATGGCCCTGGCTGGTGTGGGCCATGGTTGGAGCATCATCCTGTACACCGAAAGGTCACGGGTTCGATTCCTGATCAGGGCACATACTTAGGTTGCAGGTTTGGTCCCCACTTAGGATGCATATGAGAGGCAACCAACTGATATTTCTCTCTCACATTCATGTTTCTCTCTCTCTTTCTCTCCTTTACTCCCTCTAAAGTCCTTGGGTGAAGTTTAAAAAACAAAACCTTCTAATTCTCTATTGCCATTCTCTATATTTAAAAAAAGAAAAAGAAAAGATTCATGAATTGGGCAGCATCCCATCTCCAAGGAGTTGTACAAAATGGAAGGTTTTTATAGGCAGCAACTGGGTAAGACAAGAAGGTTATTAATGAAAGAAAAGACAGCATTATTTCAGGCAAGGTTACCTTGCCTCAGGGGAAGGTGGAGTCTTATCAGGCAGATTACCTCAGCTTCCTTTGGCGAATGGAGAGGGACCATGTGGTGATAGACTATCTCATTGGCCTAGACCAGAAAATTCCTGACTAAGGGTACGTTCTTGGAGAAGATTGAAACTGCGCTTAGGTCAGGTATTAAGTCAATGTTCATTGTCATGACTTTAGCACAAGTGACTCCAGTTTGGGCCTGTGATTTTTTTCTCTTGAACAAGACCTACCAAGGTATTGCACTCTACAAGTGTGCCCTAACCAGCTTTACAGAGAAAAAAACTTTTTAAGTAACTCTAAAATATAGCATTTTATGCTATATATGCTAAATATGCATTGTTTGCCTGGCTAATTATAGCCCCTCTTATTGCTGTATACTGTAAAGCGCTAAGGGGGGTGGGGGTGGTACAGAGGACTTTAGAGTTGAATACCTTTGTCAGTGGGAAGAACAGCACCAGGTGTTACACTGGTGGAGTCAGGCTGGACCTCAGTACTTCAGTTCTGGCTAAGAAAGAATTCAGAGTGTTGGAATGAATATTGGACATGATGCTTGAGATAAATACTCAAATCTGTCCAAGGAAGCTGATCTCAAGAAAACACTCAGCTAAAGCAAGCTGATTGCTGTGATGCAGAGGGAAGTATTTGGCAACACAGTGGAGGGGATAATTATGTTTTCCCCTTGGTGGGAAAAAGGGGAAGGGACATTTCAGGGAAAGCTTCACAGTAAAAGGGACATTTGAATTGGGCTTTAAATAATGAATAGGAGTTCATCAAATGAAGACTACTGAAGGGATAGTTATAAGGAACAGATGGTACAAGGAACAAAAGGAGGAAACCATGGGCATGTGATAGTGTGTATATATACCTTTTGTGGAATAGTAAGAGTATCAGTGTCTATTACTGCATACTAAGCTATACTTAGTGGCTTAAAATACTTAGTGGCTTAAAATAAAAGCAATTATTTAGTTAGTTGACAAATGTGTGTTTTAGGCAGGGCCCAGCAGGCAAGGTTCTCCATTCCAGGCAGGGTCAGCGACGATGGTTGACTCACATGGCTGGCAGGTAGGTGCTGGCTGTGGGCTAGGAACTTGCTGGAGCTGAGGTTGGAGACTCCATTGTCCTCCACGTGGGCCGCTTGGGTTTCCTCATAGCACAGTCCCGGGCCTCCCAGAGTTAGAATCCCAAGAGAATATAGGGGAAACCGTAGTGCCGTTTGTGGTCTGCCTAGAAGTCACAGAGCATCACCTCGCTGTATTTTATTGATTGGCTAGGCTCCAGTTTGGCCCAGGCTCAAAAGGAGGAGACACAGGACCTACCTCTCAATGGGAGGAGTGTCAAAATTTGCAGACACATTTGAGAACTGCCATAGTGAGGGTAGTAGGGTTGGGGATAAGGGAGGATGGTGACGGTTAGGGGTCAGGGCAGAGAGAAAGGAGTGGCAGGAGATGCAGCTGGGGGAAAGTTAGATTATACCCAGATGATAAAGGGATATATTAGTTATTTCTAAAATTGAACTTAGCCCGGCTGGGCGTGGCACAGTGGTTGAGCGTCAACCTGGGATCCAGGTGATCGGGGTTCGATTCCTGGTCAGGGCACATGCCTGGGTTGTGGGCTGCAGCCGATCAATGACTCTCTCATCATTGATGTTTCTATCTCTCTCTCTCCCTTTCCTCTCTCTGAAATCAATAAAGATATATTTAAAAAAATAAAATTAAACTTAAATATCACCTACTGTAGCCCAGCTGGGCTTGGCTCAGCGGTTGAGCATCGACCTAGGATCCAGGCAATCGAGGTTCGATTCCTGGTCAGGGCACATGCCCGGGTTGAAGGCTGCAGCCCATCAATGACTCTCTCATCATTGATGTTTCTATCTCTCTCTTTCACTCTTCTTTTCTCTCTCTGAAATCAACAAAGATATATTTAAAAATAAATAAATAAATAAATAAATAAATAAATAAATAATCACCTACTGTAAATCCATGTTCATTGAAAAGTAGTGATTTATGAGTGTGGCAGTACAGGGGGTGGGGGAAGGGAAGAAAAAGGAACAGAGAAGTAAAAGATATAAAAGAGTCTAGTATCTAAGCTAAGCTCCTTTGTGCGCAGACCACAAAGTCACATTTTTTCCCATTGCTAGTGAGTGCTGGTCAGTGAGAATGTCCTCAAGCTCTACCGTTCAGGAGAAGCTTGGTGAGAAGTGTGCATGCACCCTCCTCCTGCCCTCCCCCTCCCCCTCTACCTCTTCCCTT